ACCGGGCCTTCTCAGCGGTGGCTCCTCGCCTTTGGAACAATCTCCCTCCTGAGATTTGCGTGGCCCCTACGCTGGGTACATTCAAAACTCAACTAAAAACATGGCTCTATGTCAAGGCCTTCCCTCCTGCCAGCACCTAATCTAACTTAATTTATTTTTCTCTTCCTTATCTATTTATTATTTACGATTATTTATGATTTTTGTCATTTTCTGTTAATTGATATTTTTAATTTATTTTATTATAATTGTATACATGTTCCTGTTAGCTGCTCAGAGTGGTATAGATTTACCAGATGAGCGGGATATAAATCAAATAAATAAATAAATAAATAAATAAATAACATACCTACTCATAAACATCAAGCAAATTTTGAAATCACCCAGAGATCAAAGGATACAGACACAAAGTAGGCTTAGAATATTGTGACAAATGTTAATGGAAAATGGAAACAAACAATGTTAATCTTATGGTTATTATGGGTTTTTCGGGCTGTTTGGCCGTGTTTTTCTTCCTAACATTTTGCCAGTCTTTGTGGCTGGCATCTTCAGAGGACAGGAGCTAGAGTTCCATCTGTGTTCTTACTTAGGCTTACTTAAAGTGGGCCCACTAAACTCAATGGAAGAAGTTACTTGTTACTAAAAAGTTCAATTTGTTTCCATGGGAGTTTGTAAGTAGGATTAAAGTTGGATTCAGCTATCTGAACTATAGAGTGTATTTCTTTAAGCAAAGTACAGTGGATACCTCAACTTACAAACTTAATCTGTATTGGAACGGCATTTGTACATCAAAAAGTTCATAAGTCAAGGCTGTATTTCCCATAGGAATGCACTGAAAACCATTTAATCCGTTCAGACTGTTTTTCGTTCATATGTCGAGGTGCTGTTTGCAGGTAGAGGCATTAGTTCCCATAGGAACTAATGCAAAGCCGGTTAATTTGTACTCCACTACTAGGGGGATAATTTTTTTACATTTTTTCTTCTTTTGACCTAAGATGAACTTAGGTCAAAATAAGGGCAGGAAAGTTTTTTTTTCCATTCACAAGTCAGGCTCCATTTGCAGGTCGAAGCAACATTTTGTGAATAGAGCAATTCATAACTTGAAACATTCGCAAGTCGAGGTACAGTCGTGCCCCGCTTAACAATTACCCCGTATAACGATGAATCTGCTTCGCGATGATGTTGTTGCGATGTTTTAATTGGTTTTTTTCACTTTGCGACAATCGGTTCCCTGATCGTCGGGTTTTCTAAATGGCCACCGGCTGCTCAAAATGGCTCCCCACTGTTTTTAGGAGGCCTTTTTTGCAAGACAGACACCCAAAAATGGCTGCCGTATGGAGGATCTTCGCTGGACGATTAGGTATTTCATGCACTGGAACGCATTAACCAGTTTTTAATGCGTTTCAATGGATTTTTAAATTTTCATTTGACGTTTTCACTCTACAGCGATTTCGCTGGAACGAATTACCAAGAATATAAGATGTCACTAAAAAGTGGCTATTGATACAAAAAAAAATTTAAGGAAAAGGAAGCAGATTTTTTACAATGCTACATGAAACTTTCCTCTCAACTGGGCTTTTAAAAGCAAGAATTACAACAGTTTAAAACATTGCCTCCATTCTAAGCTTATCTGCCTGTAATATCAGTACACTGCTACTGCAAAAACAACATAATGCCATTTCGATTCCATTCATGCTACATAAAGGCCAAATTCCACTTTACAGATAACCTGTCAGTAGAGCAGGGAATTCCTTGTGTGCTGACAGATGAGTTGTTACAAGGAGAGAGTTTTTCACCCTTCTTAGTTGGCAAATGGCCCACTTTAGTCTTCTGTACCTATTTCTGTGCATGTATGGATTGCTGAATCACAAAGGTCCATTTAAATCATGTCCCTGGGACAATAATGGATTTCAACTAATAACAATTGGCTTCTGTCATGTATAGCTTGGCTCAAAGCATATACTTGATGGCTGGGGGAGGCAATAAGATGACTGGCACAGAAGCACAGAATGCTGAGTAAAAGCTCTCTTTGTCTGTGTCAGAATAGCACCATGCAGTCCGGGGGGGGGCTGCAAACAATACCCCCCAGAAAACCTTAATTAACACAAGACCACATTAACAAGTAGATAAATTTAACACAAAATCACATTAACAATACAGTAATGTGCTCCCATCCACTGGGACCATCTGGTGATAAAAGCAATTCTTCTACTATTTACTGAGTTGCATTCCCTTTCTAAAACTTCATTGATTCTTGTGAAGTTGCACAACCTTTCCCCAACTATGAATAAAAACATTCTTATTTATGTCACCTTTTCTTTACTTTGATAATACATGTTAATTCATCATTAATACCTATCAGGAATGTCTTTGCGTCAAGAGTCCAAAGTCCGAGTGTCAGTTCTTCTTACCAAGTCCCAAGTCCAAGTCCTTATTAAAAGCAAGTTGTCCCGCCCCCAAGAAAAAAAGGAGGGATGGGTGAGTTCTGAATAGCAAGTCGATTCAGAGTCATTGGAAAAAAAAAATCCCGAGTCGAGTCACCGGTGTGACTTGACAGTGGATCCTGTGACTGAAGTTCCCATCCCTGATAGTGATGTTCCAAACATCCTGGTATCATTTTTCTAACAGAAAATCATCCTTAACTTTCCAATTCCTTGCTATCATTAATCTTGCTGCTGATAACACATTTGAAATTAATTATTTTGTTGTCAAACTCCATTACTCCTCATCAAATATGGATAAGATAAAATAAATTAAATTAAATAAATAAAAATAACAAATAACAAATAAGAGAACTATCCTAGAGGAAGCCTCTATATTCCATTCAATTATTTCATTTATTACCTTGAAGACCAAGTTCCAGAATTTCAATATATTCTCACATTGCTATAACATACGAAAACAAGTACCTACTTCCTGACATCTTCTCCAACATAAATTAGAATATTTAGTATCTATATGATTTTATTTCATCAAAGTTAAAAACCATCTCCAGATTAATTTATAATTGTCCCTTTATCCTTATGAACATATACTATAATGTTCTTTTATCCCATATATTCTTTTATCCCATATATTCTTCCAGAAATCAGTACTTATTTCTTCTCCCAAATCATGTTTCCATATTGCTTTAATAACATTTTGTTGGTCCTCTGCTTCTATTAGTTGTTTAAAATTTATTTGTTATCCTTTTCATTATCTTCTTTCACTGACCTTTTCTCTATCTGTACTACCAGTTCTTCAAATCTCGCATGACCCCTACATTTACAATTATTTTAATCCATTGTTCTAAAATAAATAAGATTAAACCAAGATGTTGTTTCTGATCCTAATTCTGCTATCATTTGCTGTTTATTGCCCATCTTTTCAAACCAATCTTTCAACCTATTAACTTGCATCCACCTTAACAAATTCTCCAAAATCTGTTTCAAATTTTGTGGAAGTTTTTCCAACTCTACATACTTCTTCCAAATTCCATTTTTATCAGTAACGTCATACATAAAAAATTAATCTTAAGTAAAATCTTCATTTTACATACTGTTATTCTACAAATTAAGAACATCTGATCTTCCTAAAATCATCTAAATTATTTTTAATTTCTCGATCCAAT